ATGGTATGAGTCCAACAAACCCCACACTGGGATGTGAAAGCTCGCTGGTTATCAAATTCGGCGACTCATGCAAGTAGACATAGTAAGACGACTACATCGCCGGTTTAGAGCCTTGGGTTTAGAGTTTAGAGGTTGGGGTTCAGGGTCTTCCTCCTGCTTTCGTACACTCATACTCCGACTCCCACTTCTACTCCTACAGCTGCGGCGACTACCCGACTAGCTTTATGTATGTCTGGCGATGATGCTGATGACACGGTTGGTGGTGTGATGGTGCTGTGACTAGTCATCATCAGGGTGTAGCTGCTCCCCGAAAAGCATGTACACTTGCCAAGCAACTCCAGAAGCGTGACCACCACAAACATAGACCTCCGGCGCGCGGTTTTGAGGTTGCAGGCGTCAGGCCGACGGAAGGAACTTCTGATTACAACAATCCCAAAACCCTAAACCTCAAACGCCGAGCCTACAGACTTTTTTCGGAAGCTTGGGGATTGGGACGTTTAGGACGTAGAGTACGGGAATGTGAAGTAGATCACGCCAGCCACAATACCCAATAGCCTGCAAACAAGCTGATGCATGGAACGACACCCTATATAGAACATTCACCTGAGATTTATAATCTCGTATGGGTTGTCACACGGGTCTGTGGGAATGATGTCGTAACCTTCGAAATTCTAGACTAAATTCCTGGGCCGGTGCCTCTGTTACATAAGTTGGCTAGATGATCAGGTTCATTCACTCCCTAGTGAGAATCTCACCAACAAACACAGACTCGAAGATTACAAGCTCAACTACCCATGAGAGGGTTTCGGTTTCAGAGCAGCGCGCAATGCTTCCCTGCGACCCACAACTCAAATGCGAGATCCTATCCAGAACGACGAAAGAAGCAAGGGGTATCATAGGGGCCCTGATAGTTCTAGAATATGCTTAGGTGCACGATATCCCCACATGACGTTAAGGAACTCTAAGCAAGAGCATTGATGAATAAGCATCGTTCCTATACCCCTTTCAGTTTAGCATCCCTGGAATGAGACGAGAAACGCCAGGTGCGCGCAGTGCTCGGGGCGATGTGGCCAAGATCGGGGTGGCTCGGGGAACCTGATGAGGCGGATATTGGTTTGCGATATAGGAGCCTTAGTGCCTTAGTATTCCTGTCCGTTTTTTTTTCAAGGGGGCGCGATACCATATCTATGGTAAGGAACACTGCGGAACAACAGTGCAGCTCTGAATTCTAGACTAGCGTCCATGGCACCTTGCTGTGATACCTGGGGCCTCTCCGCAGCTATTACTGTACTGCTGAACCCTTTTCTGACTGTAAGCCGAAAGAGGACTCTAAGATAGCGCTGAACCCTAATCCTCAGCCCTTTAAGCATATGACTCCCCGACATGAGCCCTATCAAGGCTACCCCAACCCCTTCCAAACTTCAGTTTGCTAAAAACTGGGTTGGCCGTTCAGTCACTGCTATGACAGAAAACATAACCTGAAAAAAGGCACCCACAACTTTTCCTTGCGGCTCCTTAGGAAAATCAAACAATAACATACCCCAAACCCCTGTTCCAATTATTCAGACCTCTATGTCAAGCCTCATGGTGGTGGAATCCTTGTATATAGAGGCTGAAAGGAACCCTTACAGGAACCCCATAAGCTGTAAGACCCAAGCCCGGGACGTCAGGACTGCGGCTGCCGGCACGGCGATTGGCCGCCGCAGAGGACGCACGATTCGCGGGGGCCTCGATTCCCAGCCACGGTTTTGGGTAAGGATTTCAATTTCGGGTTTAAATATTCACATCTCTCTCTCTATATATATATATATATAAAAAATGTATATACATACGTGTACTTTTTCGCCACAATTCTTAGAAAAAAGTGTGTTTTTGGGAATTCAGTCTACTAGAAGCAACAGAATCAGCGTTGTTAGTTCTTCAGGCTTCGGGGCTCAAAGGTTGATGGGTTTTTGGCCCAGGGTCTAGAGTTTCAGGTTCCCTCTACCCTAATGTAACCTAACCCCTTTAACACAAAAAGTAACCCTAACCCGAAACCCTGATCACCCCACACACCGTTTTCCCCAACATCGGTCTGGCTAGTCGAGTCTGATTTCTACTGGGAACACGGAACAAGTCTGCTAGAGGGGTTGTTTTCGCAGGCGGAGCTTTCAGGTGGCATAGAAGTGGCATGCAGGAGCTATCTAAGGTCTGCGCTGAAAAAACTTTCCGGTTTAGGGCGTAGGGATGCGTGAGCAAAGTTTGGGTTTGCAGTTTGACGTCGTCTTGTGCTCGCTTCTGACTGTGGGCTTGAAGGCCCAAGCTGCCACCATTGCTCGTAGGGTTTAACCTCAGCCCCTCCTAGACTTCGTGGTGAGGAATATGAGATGCCTTGCAAGGGTTCTTAGAAGGGTACTGGTTAACCTCCAGTGTTTGCTTGTTCTTTAATTTACTTTTTTTCCCCAGCATCCCCACAGGTCTAGCAAAGACGAGAAATCATCAGGAGGAAGGGGCCGAGTTTAAGGTGCAGGGTCTTTCTGGCACAAGAACTACATGTTTCATCACCCTATGAAGCGACGGGCTGCCTTGGGCGGGTTTATCGGCGGCGTTGTCTCTCCGCGGCGCGCGTCTCGCCGCCCTCCTCCAATGAAGCGACGTCCATTGGCTTCGGGTTGGCGCGTTTAGCTCTGTTTCAGGTGTCCTCAAGCGATTCATCTTCAAAACAGCCACCAGCTCAAACACACACCCAACGATCGTCACGCCCTGGACATTGGTTTGAAAACCATGCGAAGCCGAGACCTGAACCCTTATACAGCTGTAGGGATAAGTGTTGCTGTGATTGTGGCTATCTTTGACTATGACTACCAGTAATACTGTTCTAAGCGCCAGTGCTAGTCCGAGCTAAGTGTGTGACATCTGTTTCGGTCGTTGCTGCTACGGATACTGCCACTTCTATCGCGACATGACTACTGTCATGTGCACTCATGTCACAAGCATGGCGCCGATATGACTGTGCTTGTGGCTAGTCAGAAAGCCGTGCTCAACGTTCAGTTGTATGCCGTTGTGTTTTGAAGACTGCAAAACACACAGTTGTTACCTCGCAAGACTTCTACGCCTTCAAACACAAAACTGCAATATCATGGAGTTCTATGGCTGCTATTATCATCATTCGGTTTATGTTTATTGCCAGTTGTTGTTGCCTACACGTAGGTTTGTAGCAATTACTTTTGAAGCCAGCTGTACACAATATCCAAGCCTATTGTTCAGAAGGTTTCTGGCTTCAGGGTTTACGAAGTGATCGAGTGGTGGATTATCAAAGGTAGCTCGCCTCTGGGCGCAACATCGTCCAGCCGCTTGCCATGATCCTGGTGGAGGTATCTGATCACATGCGCGTGGTATGTTTCTACGCTCGCGATTCAGAATTCAGTGATGCGTAAACCCCTATTCGAAGATGAACCCCGGTCTATACAGCCCCTGAATCGAAGTTGCCGAAGCTGCTGTCTGACAGCAGCAAGTTTGAGTCCGTTAGCAAGTCGTCTGTACCCAGCAAGTGCTCGAGGACATCTCAGGTTGCGGTCGTATCACGATGGGCCGTCATGTTGCTGCATACTGTTCACTGTCCTGTCTGACATACATGACTTTGATAAACCTTGATCATTATGACCTCTGCCTTTCTACATGTCATCCGCTTGTTCTGCCTCCGCTTCTCCGCTTGGAGTCGATCAAGACATGTGCTCTCATGGGATCTGGACTCCGCCTACAAGCCACCTGTGATAACAAAAAACGTTGGATTTCTGCATGAGCGACTGTACATGCAACTCTAAACTTTTACATGCAGTGCCAACCAGTATGAACCGGTGTTCGCATACAGTTTTGTGTACACATCATGAAAATGTACACCCTTCATGTTGGCTTATCGGTTCGTGCGGAGTGCGAGCTCGGGACCTCCACGATGCGCTCCAGCCGTTCAATGCGGGCCAGGAGGTCGTCTGCGGCGCCACCCATCTTGGGGCCCAAGGTCGAAGAGGCCCTGCAACCCAGACCTGTACCCGACTTTGCCCTGGATAGACTGTCACAACGTGGCAGACCCTATGCTAGATAGATGCACAGATGCATGTGTATGTACATAGTTACTCATTACTACGCATATAGGTATGTCTGTGTGTGTGTATTTATGTATGTATATATATATATATATATACACTATAGAACATGTAGAGACAGATAAATGGAGGGACGCGCACATCCTTCGAACTGTGACCTTGGATCACGAATGCGTGACATGTCTACGACTTCGTGTTCTAAGGATCGTAGGATTCAGCCTTCCTAGCTGCTTTTTGTTCGAGATCTTGCTTGCAATGGCACCTGGTACGTAATTCCTTTGGCCACCTTGGCGAGGCTTTGCCGCCACGGTCTGGTCTGAGCCATGAAGAGCAGGGCATGGATACAATAGGAGAATAATCTCGAAAGGAGTTGTCCCCAGTTCACAGAAGAACAGGTCAGCAAGTAGGTGGTTGTCAAACTTAGGGCCCCTTTTAAAGTCCTTAACAAAGTACGGCACCTATGAATATTTAGGGTACCCAGAAAGAGACCCTAATTTTGACAATCACCCAACTGTCAGTCCAAACCATGGTGCACAGATCCGACACCCTAACCCCAAGCCTTGTCAAGAAGAAGCTCCAGCGCAGATTGCCGGAGACCAGTCAGTGCAGTCGGTTTAGGGCTCGGGATTAATGTTTGGAGCTGTAGGGCCCTGGGATCTTCTGTAGGGTTTTCCGGGATAAGGTCTGGGGCTCCAGATTTTAAAGCTCAGAGTGTCGGGCTCTGGCACATCAGGTCCAGAGCTTTTCGGACTAGGCTTTTCGCAGCTTGGCGTTTCGGGATCCTAAACTATGGGAATAATGGTATATTCCTTACTATGTGTAACTGGCTTAAGGCGACCCAGGGTTTCAACTTACCTAGAGTCTTTAGGTTTAGGATGTAGGGTCTATGGCCGAGGGCCATGCAACTGAGGCTTGGACCAGGAATCCGCCGAAGACCTTCAGATCAGAGCGAGCTCATGGGTGCAGGTTTGGGATTTGGAGCGCAGGGTGCAGGCTCAGGTTCCATACTGTACTTTGTGATCTTAGACTACCTAGTAATGTTCTCATATATTATCTCACATACATGTCTCCTTATCTTACAGTGTATGTACTGCCTTTTCGAGGCCCTGCTCCCGCTCTCGAGCCAACAGTGATGCCCTGGCACCGATGTCTGGAAGTCTGCTACGGCCGGCGGTTTAGGCTCCTCGACGGTGCTTTGTTTGAAGACCTTAACCCTATGTAAATCCTAAACCTTGGGAGGTTGGTGGGCTGAACTCTAAACCCTGAACCCATATTGTTGACACGCTTGAAGGCTGCAGACACGATGGCACCTGCCCCACGACAAAGCCTTCAGCAAGATGTAACTCTGAATCACAAATGTCATAGCCTCATGGGCTGAGTAGCATATTCTTGTAATATACTAGAATATACCAGACTATAAGAAACCATACTATGAAATAAGTTTAGTATACTACAATGTGCTATAGTAGGTTATTGCCCCACAATCTGAAAAGAGCCCAACCCCTAAACGGACCTTAACTGTCTCGTTACTAATAGAGAATGGGGGAATGGGTAGTGGGACTGCTATAGGGGACCTTAAGGAACTATCATGGGGATCATTTCCCCCGTTCCCTACTAAGCACCAGACAATTACGGTCAGACATGTGCCGGCCAAGGTACGCTTGGCGGAGGGTGGCAGCCTCCCGGATCCGCGTTGTCGAAGCCTGCCATTCTTTGTGGGTTTAGGGTCTGGGGTTTAGGGTTTTTGGGGGGTTTAGGATGGTTTAGGGGTTTAAGATTTAAGGTTTAAGGTTTACTGCAAGCCCCAAGCTTTCAGGCTTGAAGCAGCAGGTTTGGGGGTTCGGCCTAAGAAAGGACTGCGACGACCAAAGTATGCCCTGCCTGCAATAAGAACTGCAAGGACAGACATATACCGTGCCTGCAGCTAGGGCCTAAAGACTTCCCCGGTAATCGGTCACCTCCCACCTCACATCACCCGTGTGATGCCCACCTTCCCAAACCCGGGAAGACACTTTTCCGGAGGAGTAACTCATTCCCAGAGAACCCAATACCCCTGAATTAAGGAATATACCCTAAATCATAATATTCATGCCTCTATAATTCAAGGTATTTCCTCAATTAAATTGGGATCTCTGGGCTCTCAATAAAGGATGCATCACCAATCCTCAGCGTGATGATTGCCCTGGAGGCTGACAGACCCTCAAACCGTCGTTCCGAAATCCCAAACGGCAAAAGGGTTTGAGGGCGTCGGATTTCTCCCATACTTGGAGCACTGACTGCAAAGAGCCCTGAGCTCTAAGCTCCAAGGCCACAAGCCTCAAGCGAACTGAAGCTCTAAACGCATTACAAAACCTACTATATAAGTTAAACTTAAACTCCGAACCCCGGCACCCAAACCTGCAAACTCCTCTAAACCCTAAACCCTAAACCCCTAAACCCCTAAGCCCCTAAACCCTAAACCCTAAACCCTAAACCCCTAAACCCTAAACCCTAAAACCCTAAACCCTAAACCCTAAACCCCAGAAGCCCTGCAAACTCCTAAGCTCCGGGCGCAAGGGGCCAGCAAAGGCACCGGCGCCAGCATCGTCCAGGCCGATGTTCCAGTTTGCCAGGGCAGCCTTTGTGCTTTATGGTTTAGGGCTTAGGGGTTTAGGGCTTATAGGGGTTTAGGGGTTTAAGGTTTAGGGTGTATGGTTTAGGGCTTAGGGGTTTAGGGCTTATAGGGTATAGGGTTCAAGGTTTAGGGCTTCTTAGAGTTAGAGGAGTTCGAGTGCAGGTTCTACTGTTGTCTTTATTTACGGTTCCACGGGGTGTTCTAGAGGCTCGGGTTTTTGTTCGGCTGTGTGGGGGTTCCTGTTTTCATCCTGCGGCCCTTGACCAGATAAGAGGGATTAGGATCCATGCTTCGGAAATCTCCCAAAGGGTCCAAGTATCATTATGGTATATACTTAGACCCCCCAAATACCCTATAAGTATGTCCCCTAATGATACTTGGACCCTTTGGGTATTGCCTCTATGCCCTTCCGCTCCGACAGTGCCTTGGGTTGGGTTGAAAAAAGGGGGCCGTTCGTGAAGGTTTGTTTGTACTGTACTTGGCTCGGTGGAAATTTATCGAGGCTTTGTAAACGCCTCCTTCAAAGACCCCAGTCTTGCGAAGTTTGCTGAGCATAAGCTTTGGGGCTTTGGGGCTCAAGGGTCTGGGGTTTAGGGTTTAGGGTTTCATGGCATCCGGAACCAACATCAGTGCCCTTCAATAATCGTAAAGAACTGAGCGAAGGGGAGCAGGGCCTCACGTTGCAGTGAACTCTGACAGTTCCTGCTACGGCCAGGGTACGTTGCCTTATGCAGTCCCCTGATTGATAAACTCCCCTTCTTGAAGGGTGTCTATTTCCGGACCCCTTCTGATTCCCTCAGGATATTGATCGGGGCCGTGCCCCTCCCACATACACTTGGGGCACTCCACACCGAGACACATGCACCACGTCATGATCTATGTCAATTTGCGCGCGTAGCCACGGACTCAAACCTGGTGCCAGCTGCGACTCTCGAGTGCTGGGGAGAGTGTAATCCTTCGTCAGCTTGTGATCGGTTCTCTCGCTGGCCTTAATCCTTGCGTTGGCCACGGCAGTGGCATACTTCCCCTCGGCAACTGACTTGGCTTCTTCAGTCATGCTCACAGGCATGGCGTGATCCACGAAAAACTGGCTTTGCTGTGGCTCTGACAGCAAGAACTGATCGATGTGATGGGTTGCTTGCAAGGTATCGAGCATCACAGCTTGCTCCACTCGCTCTTTCATGCGATCGCACATGGCCTGATTGTTTTGGTCGAAATCTGGTCAAGAAATGCATCAAATGAAATATTCATCATACATAAATGTGGCACTCGCATGTACATCTATGCCACTGGCAACTAGCCACCTTAACTAAGAACCACAACCGCAACAGCAAGAATAACGATCATCAAAACAATGGAAATCACAAATCAACACAGTCATGGAGAAATCACTGTCACCGAAAGAGGGACAGATAAGAACAGTAGAACAGACACACATATTGGCAGACTAGTATCAAGAACGACATGCGGTCATATACACTAAACCCTAACGAATGCACCCTTAACACTAATGCCAATACACCCTAAATCCGTACCCTAAACACCAAGAGCAGTAATCCCTAAGCCCTGATAACAATGAGCCCTAGCGGCAATGATGACAAAGATAGACATCGATATCGTTTAATTTTCGAACATTGTGCCACTACCATTATGGTTGCTGTTAGTATCCTTACTGCTAGTGGTGTTCTGCACAAACACGAAACATCCCTAAACCCTGAACCCCAACCCCTAAACCCTATAACACCTAAAGCCGAGTTCGTATCCCCCCCCCCCCCGCCCCCCGTCGCCCAGACCCTAAACCCGATGAGCCCTAAAACTCCGAAAAAGCCGAGTTCGTATTCCCGTCCCTCACCCAAACCTGGCCTCTAGGTCCTGCGGCGCAGCTCCCTCCGAGTGCACGGAGAGCACCTCCGACCTTGGCCCAGCAAGGCCTTCGGTATCGTCTTTCAAAGGGGAAAAGGAGGGACCCTTAATGGGGACCCCTGCCCTACAAGGGGCTATATAATGGGTATATAATGGCTATATTATGGGTATATACCTAGGGGTCCTTATTAGGGGTCCCTCCTTTTACCCTTTGAGTCTCTTTGTAAGAGCTTTACCGGTGTAGGGATTCAGGGCTTTGGGGTTGAGGGTTTGGGGGTTTATGGTTTTAGTTTAGCGGCTTAGGGATCCGAAAAAAACAGAGATCTTTAAGCCTTGCAGGCATCCGTAAAAGGGATCTCTAAGACCTTCAAGCGATTTGCAAACCCCTAAACCCTGAACCCTCAACCCTAAAACCCCAAACCCTAAATCCCTCACACCTAAACCCTAGGGCTTGAGGGTGTAGGAGTTTTGCGCTTATAGGCTTTAGAGTTTCGGCTTTGGGGTTTAGGGGTTTGGCCCAGCAAGCCAAGGCCTTAGGGTGTAGTTTCCGGTTGGGCTTTGAAGGTTATATTATAGGGATTCCGGGTTTAGGGTTGAGGCTTTGAGGCTCGGGGTTTTAGGTTTCTTCTGTGCTGTTCGGTGTGTAGACTGTGGCCAGTGTTAGTGCTGCTATCGCTATGTTTATTGCTATGTGGCCTCTTGATTTAGGTTGAGGGTTCGGGAAGGTGAAGACTTTGAAACTTTGGGGTGAACTTTGAGGGTTGAGGTTCCCTGCTTTGCATAAGTCTGGGGCATGTGTTGGTAAGAAGTTCGGGACGAGGCTCAGTTAGGGATGTTAGGATCTCAGGTTTCTGTGTAGGGCTGAGGAACGAGCCGCGATAAACGAACGAGTTCTGGAATTGCATGTCCTTATATGGCAGTTCAGCACCAACATGTTGTGCTGATTGCTTTGGTTGAGCGGTGCGCCTGCCCTAAATTTGGAAG